TCCATCCCCCAAAGTACCGTGTGTGGTTTCATATCTTTATTTCTTGTCTTTCTCCTCCCCTCCCCTTTCCCCTCCCCCGCACGATGACATCCACTGTTGCCAAACGCCGCTAGGCCACTACCACTCCAAGTGTTTCTTCACGCGGTCAACAACCCCTTGAACCACCGATGCACAATCATTGTCCAACTGCTACAACCCTCGACCATCGTTGCCAAGTTGCACGCGGGGGATGCTGTGAAGTGTGGCGAAGACGATGATTGGGTGTTGCATGATCTTGTCATGCATCATTTTTCACGATACCTAGCTAAAAGGTGAAATGGCGATTTTCACCTTCTCCAAAGTGCACCTCTTCTCAAACTCTCAACACAAGAAGTTACAAAGTTGGATTCCCATTTTAAGGAATCTTGTGGTTTCGAGGAATCCAGCTACAAACTCTCAACTTTTCCCACCTGACTCTTTGATCTTAAGCTTAAAAATGCTAATTTTACGAAGGAGTGAGTGCCCTTCTCCGACCCTTACTGCCCAACAGAAGAGTAGACAGCTAATGGGTTCCACTTATTGAGTAGGGTCTATGGTCCGTTTGTGGGTATCGGTGCAAGACAACCACTACTAGTTCTTGGGCTGTGAGCACATCATTGGTGCACGACACCAGAGTAGTAGTTGTTGCAAATTATGACAATTGATTCTTCAAGGAGACACCGTCGATGCTTCAAGGACTGTTGAGTGGGGTTGACAAGGAAGCGACTTCGCACAACGGATGCGAAGGAATGACACCGCAGTTGCAAGTTCAATTGCCTGCATTACAACAGGGCCACCTGTGCTGGAAAAGACTAGCACTACTACGACAAGCTCAACGTCGTAACCGCACTACGCACGGTGGAGATGCTAGGGAGTCATGGGGCGAAGAGGCGAAGGAAATGATCAAGATGCAAGATCCAAAAACAAGCGTGTGTCCCAGTCAGACGTCTGGGCCCGATCCTAGCCAAAGGTCAGCCAGTTGATGCCTTTCTGAAAGCAAAGTGAAAAGGCCTTGCGTCACACAGAGGAAGAGCAAATACGTGTATGCATTGCATATCGAACACTTACACTGACGCTCTGCAAATTAAGATGCTCAATTATGGATTGATTTATTTGATTACCAAGATGAAGGGTGCTAATACAATTCAGAACTTTAGACCTATTTGACTTCTCAATGCAAGCATTATTTTTTAAACAAAAATTACTAATTAGTATAATTGCTAATGTGGTTGGAACAGTGATTTTCCCTACAAATACAACTTTGCTAGAAAATAGGAATATTATGGAAGAAGTTTTAGTGTTGCATGAAACCTTGAACTCTGTTCATCATGGTAAGCCATATGCTATGCTTTTTAAAGTAGATTTTGAAAAGGTGTGTGATAAAATAAAATGGCGTGTTGCATATCAAATGTTGCAATTGAAAAGGTTTCCTACTAAGTGGTATGACTCGATGGTGAGCATTATGAGTGGGGAAAAGAGAATTTTAGAGTAAATAATAGTTTTGAGCCTTACTTCCCTGCTTCTAAAGGGTTAATGCAAAGGGATCCCACGTCTCCCTTGTTGTTTGACTTAACTGTCGAGGCTCTACCAATTATAATGAACAATGTTAACAAGGAATGTTTAATCAAATGGTGTGATGTTGGATGTTATTGAAAGGGGGGCAGGGGTTAATCTCCTTCAATATGTGGATGATGCGACTTTGTTGTTAGATGATGATTTAGAAAGCACAAAAATTTGAAGTTTATACTTTATGTGTTTGAACAAATGTCGGGGTTGAAAATTAATTTTCAAAAGAGCGAGGTGTTCCGTTTTGAGGATGCTAAGGAAAGGGGTAAGCTTTATAGTGATATTTCCGCTTGTAAAGTTGGAGAGATGCCTATTACATACATGGGCATGCCTGTGAATGAGATGAGATTGAGAAACGGGGATTGGAAGAAGGTGGAGAACAAGTTTGAAAATAGATTGGGATATTGTTATGGGAGCATGCTTGTATTAACTAACTCCTGCTCGAGTAGTTTACCTCTTTATATGTTATGTTTTTATGAGCTCCCTATCAGAGTTGAGAAAAGATAAGGATGTTTCGGCAGGATGAAGAAGGG